TGGGCTGGGGATACTGGGAATGGACTGGGGATAATGGGATATTGAGTTATTGGGGATCCCAGCGCTGCCGGGAGCTGCTGCTGGTGGGGCTGGGCCAGCGCCAGGGCCGCCCGTACCTACTGGTGAGAGACTGGGGATACTGGGAATACTGGGAATGGACTGGGGATAATGGGATATTGAGTTATTGGGGATCCCAGCGCTGCCGGGAGCTGCTGCTGGTGGGGCTGGGCCGGCGCCAGGGCCGCCCGTACCTACTGGTGAGATACTGGGAATACTGGGAATGGGCTGGGGATGATCTGGGAATACTGGGAATACTGGGGTTATGGGGGTTATTGGGGATCCCAGCGGTGCCGGAGCTGCTGCTGGTGGGGCTGGGCTGGCGTCAGGGCCGCCCGTACCTACTGGTGAGAGACTGGGGATACTGGGAATGGGCTGGGGATGGTGTGGGGATAATGGGATTATTTGGGTTATTGGGCTTATTGGGGATCCCAGCGCTGCGGGAGCTGCCGCACGTCAGGGAGCTGCTGCTGGTGGGGCTGGGCCGGCGCAAGGGCCGCCCGTACCTGCTGGTGAGAGACTGGGAATACTGGGAATACTGGGAATGGACTGGGGATACTGGGAATGGTGTGGGGAGAATGGGATATTGGGGTTATGGGGCGTATTTGGGATCCCAGTGCTGCCGGAACTGCCGCCCGTGCGGGAGCTGCTGCTGGTGGGGCTGGGCCAGCGCCAGGGCCGCCCGTACCTACTGGTGAGAGACTGGGGATACTGGGAATACTGGGAATGGGCTGGGGATACTGGGAACAGCATGGGGATAATGGGATATTGGGGTTATTGGGGTTATTGGGGATCCCAGCACTGCTGGAGCTGCCCTACGTCCGGGAGCTGCTGCTGGTGGGGCGGGGGCGGCGCCAGGGCTGCCCGTACCTACTGGTGAGATACTGGGAATACTGGGAATACTGGGAATGGGCTGGGGATACTGGGAATGGCATAGGGATAATGGGATATTGGGGTTATTGGGGATCCCAGCGCTGCCAGAGCTGCCCCACATCCGGGAGCTGCTGCTGGTGGGGCTGGGCTGGCGTCAGGGCTGCCCGTACCTACTGGTGAGATACTGGGGATACTGGGAATACTGGGAATGGACTGGGAATGGGCTGGAGATGGTATGAGGATACTGGGAATGGTGTAGGAATAATGGGGTATTGGGGTTATTTGGGTTATTGGCGATATTGGGGAAAATGGGATATTGTAGATACTGGGGATATTTGGGATATTGGAGATAATGAGATATTGGGATATTGGGGATAATAGGGATATTGGGATATTGGGGATATTGGATATATTGGGATAATGGGATAATGGGACATTGGGAATAATGGTTTGTTGGGGATAACGGGGATATTGCGATATTGGGGATATTGGGATAATGTGATATTGGGATACTGGGGATAATGGGACATTGGAGTTAATGGGGATATTGGGATATTGGGGATATTGAGGTATTGGGAATATTGTGATAATGGGATATTGTGATATTGGGGATAAGGGGAATGGCATGGGAGTGGAGGGATAGAGGGCACATGGGGGATCCTGGGGAAAGTTTGGGATCTCAGGAATGCCAGGAATCCTGAGGGAATCCCGGGTGAATTCCCAGGGAATCCTGGGCGAATCCTGGGATTTTTGTCAGGATTTCCCTCAGGATTCCTGAAGGAATGGAATCCCGGAGAAATCCTCAGGAAATCCCAGGGGAATCCTGGGGGAATCCAGAGGAAATCCCAGGGGATTCCTGAGGGAAATCCCAACAAAATCCCAAAGGAATTACAAGGGAATCCAGGGGAAATCCTGGAGGAATGCTGAGGGAATTCTGAGGGAATCCCAGGGAAATCCTGAGGGAAATCCCAACAAAATCCCAAGGGAATCATCAGGGAATCCCGGGAAAATCCGGGGGCATTGCTAGGGGAATCCTGGGAGAATCCCTGGGGAAATTCTGAGGGAATCCCGGGGGAATTCCTGGGGAATCCTGAGGAAATTCTGGGATTTTTTTCGGGATTTCCCTCAGGATTCCGGGGCTATTCCCACGGGAATACTGAGAGAATCCTGGGGGAATCCTGAGGGAATCTTGGGGGAATCATGGGGAAATTCCAGGGGAATCCTGAGACAACCCCTGGGGGAATCCTGAGGGAAATCCTGAGGAAAATCCCTACAAAATCCCAAGGGAATCACAGGGAATCCCAGGAAAATCCTGGACATTGCCAGGGGAATCCTGGGGGAATCCCAGGGGAAATCCCAGGGAAATCCTGAGGGAAACCCCAACAAAATCCCAAGGGAATCACAAGGGAATCCCAGGGAAATCGGGAATCTGGGGAGAAATCCTCAGAGAATCCTGGTGGAATCTTGAGGAAAATCCTGAGAATCCCAGAGAAATCCTGAGGGAAATCCCTGAGGGAAATCCCAGAGAAATCCTGAGGGAATCCTGGGTGAATTCCTGGGGAATCATGGGGAATTCTGAGGGAAATCCCAGAGAAATCCTGAGGGAAATTCCCAAAATTCCAAGGGAATCCCAGGAAAATCGTGGGGGAATCCTGAAAGAATCCCAGGTGAATTTTCGTGGAATCCTGGGATTTTTTTCAGGATTTCCCTCAGGATTCTTGGGGGATTCCCTCGGGAATCCTGAGAGAATCCTGAGGGAATCTTGAGGGAATTCTGAGGGAATCCTGAGATAATCCCAAGGAATCTGGGGGATGTTTTGGGAATGCCGGGATTTGGAGGATGTTGAGTAATTCAGGGGTCCCAGCCTGGATTTTGGGGTTCCCAGGTGGATTCTGAGATCCTGGGATGGATTTTGGGGGTTCACAGGTGGATTTTGGGGTCTCTGGGATGGATTTTGGGGTCTCTGGGATGGATTTTGGGGTTCCTGACCCGTTTTTTGGGGGTTTTTCCCAGGTGCACGTGGAGCAGGAGTTGCTCCTGTATAAGGGGTTTGGGGTTCTGGAATGGATTTTGGGGTTCATGACCCATTTTTGGGGGTCTCTGACCCATTTTTGGGGTCCCTGACCCATTTTTGGGGTCTCTGACCCATTTTTGGGGTCCCTGACCCATTTTTGGGGTTTTTTCCTAGGTGCATGTGGAGCAGGAACTGCTCCTGTACGAGGGGTTTGGGGTTCTGGAATGGATTTTGGGGTCCCTGACCCATTTTTTGGGTCTCTGGGATGGATTTTGGAGGTCTCCTGACTCATTTTTGGGGTCCCTGACCCGTTTTTGGTTTTTTTTTCCCAGGTGCACGTGGAGCAGGAGCTGCTCCTGTACGAGGCCTTCGCCCACGATTCTCAGCTGGGCCAGAGCAACCTCAAGGTTCGGTTCCGCAAGGTGAGGAGGGGTCCGGGGGGGCTCAGGGTGGGGGTCCCACCCCCCAAAACCCCCCCTGGCACCCCCTGACCCCCTGTCCGTGCCCCACCAGGTGCCCCACGGCATCAATTTCCGCGAGAAGAAGCCGAAGCCGTCGCGGAAGAAGCCGGAAGGGCCCGGGGGGACCCCGGGGGGGACTTCGGGTGGGACCCCCGAGGAGCCGGGGGGGCCACGGGGCCGCGTGGCGCGGTTCAGACCCTTCCACGACATCTACGGCTACTCCGGGGTGAGTGGGGAGTGAATCTATGGGGCAGGACATGGATCTATGGGGCAGGGCTCAAATCTGTGAGGCAGGGCTGGATCTATGGGGCAGGAACAGCTGGGGTTCGGTTCCGACCCTTCCACAGCATCTACGGCTACTCTGGGGTGAGTGGGGCTGGATCTATGGGGCAGAGAATGGATCTGTGGGGCGGGGCCCCAATCTATGGGGCAGGGCACAGCCGGGGGAGCCATGGGGCCGTGGGGTTTGGTTCAGACCCTTCCACGACATCTATGGCTGCTCTGGGGTGAGAGGGGCTGGATCTGTGGGGCAGGGAATGGATCTATGGGGCAGGACACGGATCTGTGGGGCAGGGTCCAATCTATGGGGCAGGGTCCAATGTATGGGGTGGGGCACAGATTTATGGGTCAGGGCATGATCTATGGGGCAGGAACAGCTGGGGTTCGGTTCAGACCCTTCCACGACATCTATGGCTACTCCGGGGTGAGTGGGGCTGGATCTATGGGGCAGGACATGGATCTATGGGGCAGGACATGGATCTATGGGGCAGGGTCCGGATTTACGGGTCTGGGCATGATCTATGGGGCAGGCACAGCTGGGGTTCGGTTCCGACCCTTCCATGACATCTGCGGCTACTCCGGGGTGAGTGGGGCTGGATCTGTGGGGCAGGGCCCCAAATCTATGTGGCAGGGCCTGAATCTGTGGGGAGAATCCCAAATCTGTGAGGCAGAGCAGGGATCTGTGGGGCAGGACTCACAAACACGCAGGGGATCCCAAATCTATTGGGGGGAAGAACCCAAATCTGTGGGGCAGGGCATGGATTTATGGCACGGGGCCCAATCTATGGGGCAGGGCATGATCTATGGGGACAGGCCCAATCTATGGGGTGGGCCCTGATCTATGGGGTGGGGCATGGATCTATGGGGGGCACCTCGAATCTATGGAGGGCTTATGGGGGGCCGGGTGTTCATCTGCAGCCCTGCCCCACACTGACCAGCCGGGGGTCCCTCACCTGTCCCTCACTTGTCCCTCACCTGTCCCTCACCTGTCCAGGTGTTCACCTGTGGCCCCGCCCCTCGCTGGGTGCTACTGACCAGTCACAGGGCCCTCAGTATCCCTGTCCTGGGTGTTCCTGTCCCCATTCCTGGGTGTCCCGAGGTGTCCCCAGGTGTCCCTCACCTGTCCCGGGTGTCCCTCTCCTGTTCCTTACCTGTCCAGGTGTTCATCTGCAGCCCCACCCCTCTTTGGGTGCTGGTGACCACCCAGGGATTCTCTGGGTGTCCCTGTCCCCATTCCTAGGTGTCCCTCACCTGTGTCACCTGTCCCCTGTCCCTCATCTGTCCCCACCTGTCCCCACCTGTCCCTCACCTGTCCCTCACCTGTCCCCAACTGTCCCTCACCTGTCCAGGTGTTCATCTGCAGCCTGTCCCCTCACTGGGTGTTGCTGACCGGCCAGGGGGTGTCTGGGTGTCCCTGTCCTGGTTGTCCCTGTCCCCCTTCCTGAGTGTCCCCATGTGTCCCCAGTGTCCCTCTTCTGTCTCACCTGTCTCACCTGTCCCCACCTGTCCCTCACCTGTCCAGGTGTTCATCTGCGGCCCGTCCCCTCACTGGGTGTTGCTGACCAGCTGGGGGTCACTGAGTGTGTCGTGTCCTGGGTGTCCCTGTCCCCATTCCCGGGTGTCCCTCACCTGTCCCTTACCTGTCCAGGTGTTCACCTGCAGCCCCACCCCGCACTGGGTGTTGCTGACCGGCTGGGGGGTACCTGGGTGTCCCTGTCCTGGGTGTCCCTCTCCTGTCCCCATTTCTGGAGGTCTCTGGGTGACCCCAGGTGTCCCTCTCCTGTCCCTCACCTGTCCCTCACCTGTCCCCACCTGTCCCTCACCTGTCCAGGTGTTCACCTGTGGCCCCTCCCCTCACTGGGTGTTGCTGACCGGCCACAGGGCTGCTGAGTGTCCCTGTCCTGGGTGTCCCTGTCCCCATTCCTGGGTGTCACATTTCCCATTCCCAGGGATCTCTGGGTGTCCCTCACCTGTCCCCACCTGTCCCTCACCTGTCCAGGTGTTCATCTGTGGCCCGTCCCCTCACTGGGTGTTGCTGACCGGCCGTGGGGCTCTGCGCCTGCACCCCATGGCCATCGACGGCCCCGTGGAGTCGTTCGCGCCCTTCCACAACGTCAACTGCCCCAAGGGCTTCCTGTACTTCAACCGCCAGGTGAGCACACCTGGGGACACCTGGGGACAGCTGGGGACACCTGGGATACACCTGGGATACACCTGGGGATGGATGGGGACAGCTGGGATACACCTGGGATACACCTGGGGGGGCTTTGGGGAGCACCTGAACTGCCCCAAGGGCTTCCTGTAATTCAACCAGCAGGTGAACGCACCTGGGGACAGCTGGGGACAGATGGGGACACCTGGGA